TGAATCCAGATCAGCCAATTCGGAGGCTGAAGCCAACGGCTAGCCTGAGAGAAGAAAAGACCGAAGCTAACCTCAGCTTTTTCAAAATAGCTCACACTTATGGAAACGTCACAGTAGTTAAGGTGAATCCCACATTATTTTATTAAACTGTAACAGTCATGTTTTCATTTGACTGTTTTATATAGTGAAACTGACTATTAGAAATTAGCAGTAGGAGTTTTTGCGTAAAGGTTTTTTCGCCGTGTTAAACCCATTAATACAGTCTTCACTTTTTCCAACTAGAATATTTTTACTTTTTACACGCTCTGGTTTATATCAGTTACTCAAATTTGAAACCCTTTAAATGTTCCTTTCCCAGTAAGTGTTCCACACAGGAAGATTATTGTTGGCGCACTGTCTCTTGTGTCAATGTTCTTTGTTAAAAAAAAAAACAACCCCAGACGCTTCTCTCTGACTAATCCCTTTAAAGGGTCATACAATAATGTTCGTACATGACAATTTTCAGACTCAACTTGTGCTAACATTGACAACTTTGTTCAGTGCTTGGCTAGTTCTCTCAGTGTAGCTGTTAGCTTCTGACAGCTAATCTGGATCTTAGCTAGGTGAATCTACCAAACAAGTTTAGGTAATATATTATGTAACTGATTATATCTGTTTAATAGAATATCATTTCTTTTAGGAGTTTGAACTACTTTTTGCAATTAAACTTGCAAAATGTCAACTTAAGCCTTTGGTATCTACAAGAAAATGTTATAAAATGTGGTCCTTTTCATTTTATTCAGAATTATAGCAGTTTTTATTTATCTCTTCCATAAAACTATACACCAACATGATATAATTGATCAGAGCTGATCATTTATTTGCAGTTTTTGTGGGTTTGATGAAGACAATGCCATCCATACCTGCTTATCTCCGAGTGTAGAAACAGATGGCTTGTTGCTGCTTAAAAAAAAAAAAAACACCCTTCCTATAATCTCTCCATTAATCACAATCATAAATGGCAGGTGAACGGCCGACTCCAGGAACCAGGCAGCAGTGACAGCTGGATAGGCTAAATGTGTGGAAGGAGCAGGTAAGAAGCAGCTGGGCTGTTTATTAGTTTCCTGAAGAGAAGCGGATGGACAACTGGAGCCTGTAGTTTTGGTGCACGCACCTGCCAGAACACTTGTAATTTGGTTACTGAAATGAAGCTTCTTCGTTATGCAATGTGTAGGTGGATTTTCATTACAAAAAAATAAGTTTTTAAAAAAGTGGGGAAACAACATAAAGTGGGTCGAGTTGGCCCTGCGTGGAAGCCACCGAGGAGCCGGCGGTCCGTGTGCACGTCTGAATGATGATTAACTGTAATTACCTTAGCACTACCTGGTCTGCATGCCAGGAGGCAGCTCAAGATTAATGGGGCTTTGCTGAAAACGGAACAAAAGCTCACATTTCCGAGGTAATGAATCGCTCTGGTACTAAGGCGTCTTCACCGTGGAGCGAACCCCCCCCTCCCCCGGCCCCCTGAGGGAGGTTCATTACAGCGGGAGGAGTGGATGGATTCACTGCAGCACTCCTGAACGGGCAGAACAAGCAGGCAAGCCATGAGGAAGTCTTAAATTGTCCCAGACATCCTGGTTACCTCGCAGACCTCATAACCAGGAGGGAGATAAACAGGCTCCTCAGTGCTTTTTAAATGGGCTGTAAATACCGCACGTCAAACCATCTTGTTTGTCTTGTTCATACAAGGAGGAAACTTGCTCAATTCAAATCGTCTGAGCAATAAACGCTGGTTTGATTAGATCAAAACGTTGGACCTACAAACGTAATGATTTTTTTTTTTTTCAGATTTCCCATTTTCTGCTTTACCTCATCTTTTCGGTATTGCGGTATCTTCCCCGTCTTTAAATGGTGAATCAGCTGTGATAAAACTTTTTTTTTTAAGATGAGTCCAGTTTTGCTGGTCAAAGCAAAGCTCGATTACAAGCAGATGTGTTGAATCAAGAAATCAATTAAAAAAACTGTCTGGCAACATGAAGTAAGATCTTAAAAGGCCAAACACTTTTATACTAAAACTATTAAAAGTCATTTACATTCATCAGTCTGGACAGTGTTACAGTTCCATTTCTAAGCCACTGACTACAAATGGAGAAAACATTTAAGTGTGATGAACTTTCCCATGAGAGACCAGTTTACGAAAATTACTCTGAGAGCGCAGCGTTGACTCTTCCAGGATGGCCTCCAAGGAAGAGTTTCTGAAGTGAAAACTCCGGAAAAGATGGAAAGATAACCACAAACGATAGTTGGTCATTTGTCAAAAAAACACGGATGATCTCCAAGACTTTTTAGATAATGTTTTCTGGACTGAGAAAAAAAATTGACCGTTTTGTGAGTATGTGCACCTTGTATGTACATCTAAAAAGTAACACAGCGTTTTAGAAAAACACAGTGGAGGTGTGATGGTCTTGGAACGCATTACTACTCGACTAAATGACTGTGATTGATGGAACCAGAAATCCGACCATCAGTTTGTGATATTAACCTGATGTTTATTTGGGTTTTGCTTCAGGATAACAAACCAAAGCACACCATGAAGTTCCTCTCTGAATGGCAAAAAAAGAGGGTTTTGGAGTGGTCTAGTCAAAGCTTGGACTTACATCCAATTGAGATGTTAGCGCATGACCACAAGCAGGTGATTCATGCTCAAACACTGAATAACTAAACTGAATATTTTCGCAAAAGAGTGGTAAACAAGTAGCTGGTTCATTTGACACGAAGCAGTGAGAAAGTGAAGCTGAAAATGTAACACATTTTGTGATTTTGGTTCCCAAAAGAACCGAGATGTTTGAATTATGAGGTGTGAAAACGCCCTTAAAGATCGGTGATTGGCCAGAAAACTGCAATCGGTGAACTACTCCTGAAAAAGTCATTAGCAGACGTATGTCCGGAACAGACAGTTATTAGGTTTAGAGGCAATTGTTTTCACACAGCGCCAGATTGGCTCAGCTTTATTTCACTTAATAAATTTTATATTTTGAAAATTATTCTTTTGTATTTCCTCTACTGACATAAACAGCAAGGAGGCACATACTTTGTGTCTGCTCTGTGCAAATAGCAACAACTGTAGTAAAAATTAAAAATAAAAAAATTTGAAATAAGCAGAAATTAACACACATTATATATATATATATATATATACATACATATATATATAAGCCGAGACTCTGCATTATCTCCATTAAAGGAAGCAGGTTTTCTATTACGCAGGATGTGAGCAGTCTGGTGAAGCCTGGAAGCTAAAGTTTTATTTCAAGTGTCTCCTGTTGTAAATCACCATTTTTGCTCGGCGTTGCGCGGGTTAAACCGAGGCTTTTCTGAGAAATGATGAACGACACAAAACGACAAAACAGGCTCTGGCCGCTGTGTGAAGGAGGTCAGTGTGGGAAGTGGCACTAGCGAAGAATGAGAGCAGGTGATGAATGGAAGTGGGCATCAATTATTGGAAGTCAGGCTCCTTGAGGCAACAATGAGAGGATTTACAGGCTGTGACATTTTTCATGCCCTCGAGCATGCTACCTTCACGTACCGGGGTCGATAGCTGGGTGAAATGCAGCCTGACCTGAGCTTTAAATGATTACACACAAGCCACGTATTTTCCCGCCGCGCTGAGATGTGTAAATACTTGAAGGAAACGCACGTCAAGGCATGCCCAGGTTCCCGACACACAGAGCAGCGGCTATCTGTAAAAACTCGACGACCTGCTTCGTTTACGAGCCGATGTTTATGCTAGGTAGCTTTTCCCCCCACATACAGGACATTTCTCAGTCGCTGACAAAGACCCGAATATAAAGTGATAACAGTCAGGATTTGTCCCTCTGAAAGTCTGAGGGATATGAAAATGACGGTCGTTATGCCACATCAATAACAGAAGACTTTAAGCACGAACACTTGAATAATTTATTCAGAGGAATAAAGAACGAAAAGGCATTATGGATGCTCTGCTATGAAAGAAGCAGTGAGTGTATAAAATAAACAAGTGTTATGCTAGCTAAGCCATTACCGAAAACCGCTCTCTACGTCAACGTTAACCGTAATTTAGGATTTATATCTCTAGAAATCTGTTAACCTTGGCTTCCAGGCTAACACAGGAATAAAACACACGTTTTACTTTCCTATCATGACTCTGATTTGCATTACATAAGTGTACTAAAGTATTCACACCGCTAAAACTTTTCTCTGTGAGAACAAGTCAAACGCTTTTGGTCAAATGAGACAAAAACTAACTTTTCTGAACGCACCATCGCCATGTTTGTTAGCAGAAGATATTTTTCTTCAGGAGGGACAGGGAACAGTAGATTTTCATTTTATTTTTATTTTTTTATTACCGATCACCTTTCAACAAGGTGATCAATAATTAAATAATTAATAATCAATAATTAAGAAGTGTTCCCCTCACTGTTAAACATGCAGTGAGGGGAACAGTGGAACGGTCCAGTTAAAGTTCAGACCATTCAATCTGACTGAATTTATGCCAATTTTTCACCAAAACAAAAAAGATACAAAATATCAGCATCTGTGAAAAACTGATAAATGTATAGCCTAAAAAGACGTGCAGGAAAAAATGGTTCAACAATATTGAGTCAGGGAGAATGGAGAAAAATGCATACCACATTTTTAATATAGATTTTATTAAATCATGCATTTTTTTTAATTATTTCCATTTCACATTCATTTGCTACTTTGTGCTGGACCGTCAGAGAAAATCCTGGTAAAACACCTGGAAGTTCTGCTTGTAACTAGATAAAAAGGTGAAAAAGACCAGGAAGCATGAACTGTTCAGACATCACTCAGACTAAATTAGACTCAAGATGAACAGATGAAATGTCAAATTAAAAGAATTGGAGCATTAAATGAAAATATCCCATGAGCTGGAAGTTTCAATTCACCAGACTCTTAAAGCTCCATTAGCCAACATTAGCACAGCAGAGACAAAAGACACCCAAAACTCTCTCAAGTAGTGTTGCTGCTTAAGTGAGAGAGAGTGGGGGCGGGGGGAGGGAGTGTTGTTGGTTTTGGATTCATAAATCATCATTAGTTAAGTTTTTCAGTATGATGCAAAGAAAGGAAACCAAACATGATGTTTAAACATTCATATACATTTTTTTTTCTTTTTTGTCATGGCTGTTAAGTATGGAGCAGCTTAGAAACCAGGCTTCAATACCCACATTGTCTTTTAAATGATTCATCAAGTGACCACGGCAGAGTGAGGGCTTTTCTTTGTGTGGCTGTTTAACATCACATTATCAGCAAAGGTTTTGTCATGGAGGGACAAAGACTTTTTTTTTCACCCCCTCTGCCTATTTCATAGTAATAAATACTCCACAAGCTTAAATGGCAACATGAACAAAAGGCTAAGATGCTAATTTATCTTCTCCATATGATCCTAATGCAAATGAGGGGAATGAAAGCAAGCAATCAATTCCCTAATTGGGTTCGGGCTATTGCAACTTGTTAAGGGCTCCAGATTAAACGGCAGGTCAATTTCTCATTGTGACATACTGTATTCATTTCACAGTGCAACAAAAGGAATCAGACAAGAGTTGCAAGTAATCAAGCTGATGAGAGCGACAAAAATAGGCCACAAAAAAAAAAAAAAAAACAGAAATCTAAAAGATCACACGGTCGGCTCCAAATTTACATGCTTTCTTAAGTCGTGTAAATCACATTCAGATCCTTCAAATAAAAGTTAAGACATTTTCATCCAGCTGGTGCCAATCGCTGCTGCGCTCTGATCTCCTCCTCGTAAATTGGTGCATCAAGCATCGGTTTCAAAGAGTTCTTGGAAATCCGACTCTTCAAGAAAAGAATGCGCCTTTGTGTTAATCACCGAGAGAATTAGAGGAGTGGAGCTTCAAATTGTGTTCCGTGAATGTGTGTTTCATTTAAATGCGGACAGTAGTGATATGAATTTCCTTTACAAAAATAAAAAATAAGACATTTTCAGCAGGAATAAGCTGAAAAACGCGCATGTTGGCAGTGAAATGGAGCGAACATTTGTTGTTGCTGCTGTAATTATTGTTGAAGCACAAATGATTTTTCAAAAAACATTCATTACATTGGGGAAAAAAATTGCCCCAGGAACATGATGAAATGATGCATTAAGAGAACAACAAACTGGAAAGAAAGGGATTCAAACAGTTCTTACCCAGCAGTACAGCGAACTCTTGTCCGCCTACAAACCTAGCACTTCTGCTGAAGTGAACGCGAAGCGACCGGAGACAACGCTCCAAAAGCAGGAAGTAGCCTACAGCGCAGGGCATTCTGGGTAAATACAACTAAAACAAACTCCAAGTGTCTAGCACTTAGCGGGAGAAATGGCTCGTTGCCTTTTGACAAAGCCAAAAGAGAAATCCTACAACTGCTAAAATATGACGCTACTGTATTTTTGTTTACATTTTGTTAGGAAGGAAGTTGCTCTCAGTGTTTCCTTCAGTAGTTCTTGCTGCAGCGCCACCACAGGCGAGGAGGTAAACAGGTTTTTCAAAACGTTTAAAGCGAAATATAACCAATGTTGCAATCTACCAAATGATTAGGTGTGAAAACATCCTTAAGGTTTTAAATGACATGGTTGTTGTTGCGCGGAATGCATTAGCTGCTGCTACGCAAGAAGAAATTAAATTAGGATGCAGCCAAAATTTTACCGCGTTGAGAAAACTTTAGTCGCAAGAGGTGAATTAGAGGCAGACTGGAGTTGTGACAAAGCACTTCTAAATCCCTGTCATGGATGCTGGTTTGTTAAGTCTCAAAGTTACTGGTCACAATGTTTCTTCTCACTTAATCTTTACTGGACAAATCATTTTACGAATTCAAATTTGAGCAATTGACTTGACTAGCAATACTCTTGGACATTGTTTTAGGGATTAATACCACAGTTGGGTGTTTTAAACATAACTTAGTCCATATCATCAGATTTTAATTACAATCCACCTTCTTGCAATATTAAACAGTTGAAGCTACACACTAAACAATAAGAGAGAATCAACTACTGTGAAATAACCTTGGCTTTCTCTGCGTCACTTGTGAAAACCAGATTTTTTGCAAGAGCTTATTGAAAAATGCATGGAGAATAATTTTTCAGGTCTTGGTGCGTTTCTCCAAAATCCACAGACTGGTGTTTGTATTATCATTCCTTCAAAGAGGACAAGCAAACAGCAGCAGGCCTGTTGGGAAGGTCGTGAGGTTCGAGAGGCCTGCGAGAGCAGAACGTTTCTTCTATACCTTCCCTAAGAAACACAGCAACTTTATTTACCAACAGAAGAGAGTAGAAAATTACAATAATAATCAGATCAGCTATCCCTGAACTAAAAGCTGCGCATTGAATTACTGCATCTGAAATGTTCTCCTGAGGGGGAGTGTGGAGGATTTTGCTGCAAAGCCATATATCACAAAGCAAAGAGTGGGAGAGGAGGCTGTCATGTGTGCTGGTTCAGCTCCGTTACGACGTTCCCCTTTGCTCTCATCGGGAGGGGGAAATCAGTTAAAAGCCCTCCAAACCAAACAGTCTTTTAACAAGATGCACTTCATTTTCTCTGTTTGCTTTTAGTTCAGAGGGTTGGGCTTCGTCCAGGGAGCTGGCATGTTGATTCCAGCCGCTTGGTGAACCCTGACCTCTCGCTCGCATTCAAACGGCTCGCTCGCGGGGGGGCAAGGCAGCGAGCGCGGACAGGAGTAAACGGGGATAGATTTTGAAACATTTTGACCGCATCAATCCAACATGAAGGTGGTGCCTACGGGTTCAACGGGAGTTCAAGGTATTAGTATCGCGGGCCTTTCACGGGCTCAGATCAAAAGGGCTTTGTAAGGTATGCCAATTAATGTGCATGAAAACAGCTGGTCTGCATGAAAGGTCAAGGAGAAGCATTATTCACACCTAAGCTACTCAAACCTTGTTCTTTTAACCTATACAACCCTAGTTTGAGCAATAAATAGATATTTTTCAGACAGTTTTGGGTCCCATAAAGACACCAAAAAAAAGACGTTGCGAAACATTGTGGGTGCACCGATAAATCGTCCGGCTGATCAATCCACCCAGATTTTGGGAGATAGGCCGATACTTATATATGAAGTCGATCTTCCCCACTGATCTCAATTAACTTTCACAAGATCTGAAAATCGGCAATTTTTACAGTCAAGGAAAAAAAAGGTATCTGACAAAATCTAAATTGGTGATCGGCCAAAATCTGCAATTGGTCAGAACTGACAAGTTGCGTCAGTTATTGCCAAAAGTGATTCTGGCAAAAAAAAAAAAAATCTTTTTCCCTAAAAAAAAAAAAATCTTAGGCCATTATTTTAGAAAGGTGACGAGATTAAAATTGGAAAGAAATATGAAAAAAAAAAATCCTGCTAGATGTTGCAAAAGACATGAGGTTTACCTTCTAGGACAACCATGTAGCATGCACTACAGAGGAAAGTTTAGCATTTTCACCTGTTAGCATGGCCCAGTCAAAGTTCAGAGCTAAAGAGATTGAGAAACATTTAAAAACATGATTTTGATTGAAAGTGTTGAGCTGTAGTTGGAGCTTACAGTGTTTCCACAAAGTATCAATTTATGGCAATTAAGGAGGGCTGAGCCACACTTTTCAGATTTTCTTTCAGGTTTTAAGCCGTCATCTCTTTCCTTTTTGCAATACTGATCTAACAAAGAATTCAAACATTTATAAATGGGGGGCTTGAATACTTTTTGCAACACTTTGTACCCTCCCTCCCCACTGCCTTGTTTTTAATCATAAACCAGACTTGCTTATTTGTTCCCACATTAAACATTTGTTTTTATCCATTGGTCCCAAAGAGAACTTTAACCTGTGTGAGTCAAACGATGAACAAATGGGGCTTCTGCAAGAAGTAACCTTCTAAAATATGACCCCAAATCAGCAAATGTGACACACAGCCACAGGGACTGGAATGTAAGAAAGAAAGAATCAAGAGCTGAACACATTCTCTGTGACACAAAATAATTCAAAATGAAATAAACCTTCCATTTTCCTGTTTGGCATCAATACTCTGAGCCTAACACAAACATAGAATCAGCAGCAGCCATTGTTTTATCAAAACAGACGCTCCAACCCTCTGGGAACAGGAAAACTTTAATCGTCATAAACCAAACCATTGATGGTCTGGACGCGCGCGCACACACACGGACACACACACAGGCACACACATCACAGACCGACCCAAAGTCCCAGAAATATAAGTTAAGAAAAACAATAGGCATAACATGAAACAACTATGCAGAATCCCAGCCTTAAAAATTAAAGCCAATAGGTCCAACCCCCCTACAAGGGTTAAAATATAACACTGCCACCTAGTGGTGGCTTAGAACTCAACCAGAGAAATCTCTTCAGGAGCATTTTTAAAACTGCAAAACTTAAAAGTCTTCCACACATTTTCCGACCGCCAGGTAAGCATCCAAGCTAGAGGCACGTTTAAAGTACAGTTAAAAAAAGGCACGTTCATTTGACAATACAGTAAATGTTACGCAGTTATATACGTGTTTGTACGCATGCAAAGGACAGGAACACTTTTCTTAAGTTTCTTAAGCTCTTTTTAGTGTTTTTTTATCCACTTGAATCAAAGACCCTGCGCGAAAGCTCTACATGTTGCTTTTTACTGATTTTTAATTCCCTGCATGTGATCCGAGACCCAGTCTGCTGGTGAACTTGTCTCTGTCGATGTTCTTGTGCTCTGGGATGTGTCTGAAGGTGCAGTCATCCCTCGTGCAGCCCGTTGTCCGCCAGAAAAAGCACTCCTTCTTGTACGTACTGTTTTAAAAAAAAATTCTCTCAACTTCAATCTATACATTAATAAAGGTAGAGCTTTTATTGCCGCTTGAAGAAAGAGAGCAGTGTTCTTACCTAAGACGTTGGTAGGACTCCGTCTCTCCGGTGTGGCCCTTAAACGGATATCGAACAGTCAACGGAGCGCCTTCCACGACCATTCCCTGAAAAGGAAACAAAAACGGATCTCATCTCGAAGGTCATTTGTATCTTGGGTTGAGTTTTTACCCACATGTAAGGGCGCTTCAACACCTGAGAGCCCGTTAAACTGTCAGCTTTCACACTACACCAACGAACCAAACCCTTTGACAAGGCTGTTCCCCTCCTCGCCTGTGGCGGCGCTGCACCAAGAACCAGTGAAGGAAACAACACGAAAACCTCAAAAGTGGAGTGCCATCAAGTTTTAGCAGTTGTAGGATTTCACTTTTGTCTTTGGTAAAAGACTCCTGCTAATGCCAGACACGTGTGTTTGTTTTAGTTGTATTTACCCAAAATGCCCTGCGCTATAGTCAGCTGTTTGAACCGCGCCAGAATTCACTTCAACTGAACTGAGGTTTATAGACAGACCATATCAGAAATCACATTCACACGTCCCCAAATGAACTGGACCTTCTAGACAAACAAACTGGAGTTGGGTTAAAGCAGGGCTGGTGTGATGCCTTATAAATAAATATGGTCAGAGGCTGCAGTGTACATATTATGACTGATTTACAGGAAGTTACATTAAAGAATGAGGTTTTAACATGACCAAATGTTCAGAGGCATGTTCATTTGACAATACAGTAAATGTTACCCAGTTATATGCGTGTTTGTATGTATACAACTGCGTATATAAGTACAAACGTATATACGCTTTTCCATCACCTAGAAAAGATGGGGAGTCATTTTACAAGACTTATAAAATATGTTGTGTTTTGAGTCGTTTACTTCCTGGCTGAACCCAGCAGACAAGATATGGGAATCTTATGACTTGTGGCAAATCACTGACTTTTCTGGCACATTTTTTTAAACCAACTTCAGAATCAAAGGCAGCTCTTCCCACAGAAGCAGAAACGAACAGAAACCGCCTCATCTAACAAAGACAAATGTAATCAGTGCCTCTGTGTATTATTATTATCTCAGCTGCAGGGTAAAAGCACTGGCTCTGCAGAAAGAGAAAAAAAAAAGCAATAAGAATAATCCATAAGGTGGGATATTCAGAAAATAAAATGAAAACACCATTTGAAAAATGTTATAAAAATTCATTGAAGTAGTGAACCTACAGACAGCTCCAATCCTTTAAAAAGAAAAAATAAATCAACAGCAAACATTCAAAAATTGTTTAACACCAATGAGAAACTGTGTAAGTTAAAGGGGAAAACCATTTTGTTTCTTATTCAGAACTAAGAAAAACTTTTTTCACTTTTATTTTTAAAGTTCAATTTGACCATTGAACTTTAATTATTACATAAAACTGTTCAAATGATCATAAATATAATGATTACTGCTGGTTTTAACATTTATTAGTCAATTATTGATGGTGTTTTTGGTATTGATGCTTGTTTTGTATTTCAGTGAAATAATGATGTTCATCCACTGTCATTAAAATTAAATAGATAATATACTGATGGCTGAACTATTAAATATGGGTTTAGTTGTTATATGTATTGATTACACATAATAGATGGAAGATTATGAAAAAAAAATACATTTTGACATTATGCTTCATGCTGCAGGTATTTATAGTACATAGTCAAAAAAAAAAAAAAAAAAAAGTCATCGAAGCATAAAAATCAGCTAAAAGTCTCCAAGTCCTGGCTCCACTTGTTGCCGAGAGGCTTCAAGTTTTGAAACATCAGCTCCACATTTCACCATGACGACATGGAGTAAACAAATACGTACGTCGATACACTGGATGGCTCTCTCGCACTCTTCCTTCCGGGTGTAGTTGACAAACGCACACTGCAGCTCCAGCAGCATCTTGATGCTGTACACCGTTCCCACTCTGAGAGAAACAAACACCGACGACGACATGCAAGTTTAAAATTGGTGCAAATCATTTTTCTAGGACAATAAAAGGAAAATAAATAAATAAATAAAATAAATATTTTAACCTCAATTTTGTTTCATTTCAAAAAGAAGATTTCAGATTTTTGCATTTAAAGTTTGGTTTAAGTAAACTCAGGATTTCATGCATTATTTTACAGAAGTTTATTCTGCATCAACAGAGTAAACGGTCGGGGATTCAGAGTGATGAATGAGTCACTATTCATCACAATAAGAAATAAATCAATCAACGAGCTCAGTAATTTTCATTTGTATGATTTATCGGTTTATATTTTCTCTCTTTCTACCAAAAACTGGATGACAAAAGCTTTGGTCTCAACTTCAGACTTCATAATTCATTTTATGTGATGTTCGTTTTGTTTTTAGATATTTAAAATATCTTCCAGTTCCACTGTTAAATCTTCATTAGAATTTAAAGTTGATCTTTGAGAATGTGTTCTTGCATGATTATGTCATTACCGTTATATTATTTGAAAACTGTCTCCAAACAACTTTACATTTCATCGCAATAACTTCTGGGATGAGCATCATGTTACGGTCACAGGCCTGTAAGTCAGAACTCACCTGCTGAAAAGCTCATGGAGTTTTGAATAAGTTATGGCAGGACCCAGGGTTCCCACCCAAACTGAAAACAGCTCTCTTAGAAAGAAACACACGCTTATTCATATTTAGTCAAAAGCTCATTTCTGAAACACAGAACTGAAAACAAACAAAAAAGGACAAAAAGAAAACAACGTGTCAAACGCGATCGATTGCTTACGGTTTGGCTGAACTCCTGGAGCGAGGAGTCGGCGACTGGGATTTGGATCTGATTTGGCCCAGACAGTCGATATCTTTGACTTGCTGCGTTCGTGGACGGGCTGTTTGCAGGACGGTCCACTCTCCGTCATCGTTGTCCTCCTCTTCGTCCTCATTGTTGTCGTCCTGATGCGACGGCTGCTTGAATTTGTCCCAGATGGCTCGAGCCCCTGGAGGAGGAGAACAGTGTGGAGCAGCTGCAACCTGCTCGGTGTTTTTTTAATTTTATTTATTTGGAAACGTTACCTCCATGATCTTTGCTTCTGTTCCCGGCGAACAGAGCTTCCACGGCTTCCTCGAGGGTCGGGTGAGCTTTGAGGGCCTCGGTGCTTTGCGCCCAGGAGAAACCCATTTCCTGAGGTAACAAAAGCACACACAGCTTCCTAAATGCGACTCACTGTGGACACACCAGCTGCGTTTCCACTGGCCAAATAACAGCGCAACTTTTGGGCTTGAAAATAAATTTTGAAGAAGTTTCAGTGCTAGAATGAGGTGGCTTTTTTTTCCGTCTGTATCAAAATTGAGGTATTTCACAAAACTGTGATGGAAACACTTTTTCACTTCACTCAAGTTACATGATCAACAACCTAGCACAAAACAGGCGACGACAAGAAGTTGTTGTTTTTTGTTTTACCTGTAGTACATAGTCATTTCTTTATTATTCTCAGACTTGTAAGAAAAAAAAAAGCTCAACTGGTTTGAATACAGCATACAGATATTAGCACCCACCATAAGGTGCAGCGTCTGCGCTCGTTTCAGCTCCTGCGCAGCTTCAACACTCGAGCTCTCCAGCGTCAACACATCCTTGTAGATCAGGGAGGCTTCATAGTATCTCTAAAGGAGCCACAACAAAAAATAAATAAAGCATCAAATGACTAATGTAACTGATTATCCTGATGATTAATTAAAGAAAAACAAAATTGGCACATCCTACAGATTATTCATAGAAAATATACTAAAAGATGCAAATAAACAAGAAGAATTAAATTCCAGGACTGCGTTCCTTTACTGAATCTGAACCAGAAGGAGATAAAGCTACAACTTGAAGAATTTTAAGTAAAACATATTTACAAAGATGCTTTCCTCTGAAATGCAAAATGTATAAATATATTTATCACAATCATTTCAATCAACGCAAACAAGAGATGGGAGTTAATGTCAAGTAACTTGACTTATAAGAAACATATATTGTAATAGAATAAAACAAGAGATGCTACCAAATGCTTGCAGTTGCGCCTTGTTTTACCTTGAGGCCACAGAGGGCTTTTCCTTTCCGGAACAAACCCTTTATCCATTTGGGCTGCATGGAGAGCGCCAGGTCGGCGTCCCTCAGGGCGTTTTCGTACTGCTCAAGCCTTTCATAACACAGAGAGCGATTTCCAAACAACCTGAAACACACAGAGGGTAGTTTAAAGCTCATCTTACGTCCGGTGATCCTGTGGTTCTCTTGAAAACAAAAGTCAAATTCAAGCTCATGTTCCTACTTGAATTCCTTTGGGTTGTATTTAATGGCGTCCGTAAAACACGACACTGCCATGTCGTACTGTCCGGACGCGGCCAAGCGGTTCCCCATACCTGCGGCGAAGCAGAGGTCAGGTCGAGAGTTCTGTTTTTTTTTTATATAGTTTCATGGGAAAATTTGAATGAAGAGATTTAAAACAAGGAAAATTCACTTACTGGCCAGCTCTACGCTTCTTTTCGCTAGCTCCTCGGTCATGGGTCCAAACGGTTTCTGCTGAAACAGGAGCAATGGATCCCATCAAATAAACAGATCATTTAAAGGTGAAGTTCTGTTCAGAAAAATTTGATTTTATTTTGTGTATTATACCTCGTTATTGGTTTCAGGTTGGCTTTTCATCTGAACCTCAGGTTTCTCGCAAACATGGACGTTTTTGTCCTCCTGCTGCTGAACCTCAGCGACTTTGCTTTTTACCTTCTTCTTCTCTTTTATAGACTTCAGGTTACTCTTCTCCTCCTCCTCAGGGACCAATTTAGTAGGTTCAGCATTTAAATTATTTAAATTCAAGTCCTGTAAAGAGTAGCACAGTGTAGTCATATTTTACAGACTGTAAGAGTTTATTATCACAAATGTTTGCCTTAAAAAAAAAAGAAGCTTTTACAAACATTTTGTTGCTTATCTTCTGTAGTATTTATCTTCTCAATATCTTTTCCAGCGAGCTCAACACATCCGGGGTCCTTGGTTGCCGTTTGCGATTCATCGGATTCAGGAGGCTTGTTTTCCTCCGAATTATCATCAATTATACGAGTTTGTTCCTCATTCTCTGAAGACTCCAACTTCTCTAACTTTTCCTCATTGTTTTCCTGAAATTCAATTGCAAATCAGCGAGCTATTTCTGGTTGGAATTGCATTTTTTCAGAACATGCAGGATACAGCTCGATAAATAAGACCTTCATCAAAAACTTTACTTATTTCAGTAATTTGGTTCAAAAAGAAACTCATTATACACAGAGAGACATATGTCCACTCTGTGTGCAGTTGCTTCAGTTCATTTTAATTGACTTGGTTTCCAACTGATGAGAACCTTAAATTCAATCACTTAGAAAATGTAAATATTAGTTAAGAGTAATAATAAAATGGCTTAAATAATCATAGGGAAAACAGATGGTAGATGGTTTTGGAGCAAACTGTCACCGACACTTCCTAAGATGAGGATAAGCTGCCAAAGACCATTTACAAGAAACTGGGAGTTCACAAAACGATGTATTCAAACATATTGGAAAGTTTAGTGAAAGGAAGAGATGCAGTAGCAAAAAGTGCACCAATTGCAGAGATAATTGCAACCTTGAGAAGATTGTGAAAAAAGAAGCCAATTCAAGAGATTGAGGAGGCATGGAGCCGGTGCTTAACAGGGATTCTGCAAATTTAGCAAAACTCAAATTTAACAGTGAGTTAGCAGTAGCTAACCAGTATCTGTCTATCTATGGAACATGATAGACAGTCAACAATAAAAAACAAGCTATAGGATGGTTTAAAGCATCTTCATTCAGGCAAAAGGAGCCATTCTGTACTAAAAGTACTTTACTGATTTTAAGCCAAGCTGGGCATTAACTAGCTATATTTACAAAGCTACTTTTTGAAAAATACGCATTTATAGGATTGACTTGAGCATAATTTCTGACTACTTTGGCTGGTTAACTGCATGAAGAATAAGGATGATTTTGGTCAAAAACACACCAGACACAATTTGTGTCAAAGTGAGACCTCTTCTTCATACACAAGCTTCATTGTTTTAATGTTATTTTCTATCTGTTGATGTCAGGTAAACATACAGTAATCTGTAGATATTGCATATGGAGCCACTTTGGACTGTTCCGACATGGACACATAACCTGCTATAAGTTATGAATCATATCAAAACGCTTGTTCTGGATAAGTTAGTCAGGTCGTAATGATACCATCTGTATTAGTCCTGAAAAACAAGAATTTGCACACAACTGCTCATGTATAATAAAAAATAAATTAATTAAAAAAATCTGAATTTTAAATTGCTGAAATAAATTAACTTTTGAATTCTACTCCAATTTAGTGAGACGAGTACCATTTTTACTCACAGGTAAATTTTCCTTTAGCGCGCTCTCCTTTTCAAGTCGTTTCTTTTCTTTTTTGCGCTGTAACAAAATACAGACGTGTGCGATGAGCAGCCTTTAGATGACAATAAGACAGTATAGTCTCGGTGGTTATTACACAAGCTCACCTTTTTTTTACGTTTGTTTCTTTCAGTTTTCTCTTTACGCCGATCTTCCTCTTCTATCAATTCCTTAGCAATTTTATCTGCCTCCTGGGGAGAGCATGTAGAGCAGACGCTACAAATTCAATTCTCATAAAAAAAAAAACTTGACATATCTAAAGAAATTTATACCAGAATACAGTATTAAAAATATCAGAGTTCAACTGCGCAAGTCATATTTCCCATTCCATCACCAACAGAAGGGACATCATTCAGATAAGTATTGATTTCACTTCCCAATAAGTGAAACTGGGCATGTTACCTCGTCTGTGAGCTGTTTTATCTGTGGATGTGGTTCCAAAGGTTTGCTCGCAGCATAACGTGGATGATAATCATCATCGTCATCATAATAATCATCGTCGTCGTCGTCTGAATATATGAGATCATCCTCTAAGACCTGAGCATACTGTAAGGCTGCTGAAAGTTAGATAGAACAAACAGATTTAAATAAAGACCACAGGATCAATAAAGTTTCCATCCGTTTCATGGAAATGTCTTAAAAGTCCATTACATCTACATTTCATGGAAAAGAAAAAAAGATTTTTAAGATTTGAAGAATTCTGAAGTTTTTTTTTTTTTTTAACAAAAACAAAGTGGGAACAATTGTCTTTCATTACCATGTAGAATGTTTTCCCAGAATGCAATTCTTTGGAGTGTCCTAGTTCAGTAGCTGCATTTCCATAACAAATGTGCTCAAAACTTTGTTGATCTTGCGCCAATATGAAAAACACAATTCCGCAATTGTGGCGTTTAATAAGAAGCGCAATTAAAATCACACGTGAATATGTCTGTTCACGCTACAATTAAAAAACACGCCGCACCATCATCCTCCAACCACTTCCTGTCGTCTTCCTCTTGGTTTGCACCAGTGGCAACAACCTGTTGGTGATCATGTGATTTGTGTGATGCGAAAAAAGTTTTTCCAAAGGATCATTTTGGCAAATTTTGATATGGCCCAAAAAAACAACAACAAAAAAAAACACCTTATCCTGGTGACAAAACTTTTTAGCAAAAGATAAGAGTTCCCCCCCCCCTCCCCAACACAAACGTGTTTTCAATAAGCAAATTTATTTTCAAAATGTCAAATTGTGTAAATGTACGGCCAATGGAAATGCAGCTAATGTGAGAATTCCCTGCATATTTTTCACTTAAAACTCTAAACTTCCTTTGAAGTCTAAACACAAAATGATCTCCACAGTAGTCGGCTTTTAAGTATGGAACAACAACAACAACAACAACATGCTCCTTTCAGTCAGAATGAGCATGAATGTTGAAGCTGATGTAAATGAGTGAATAAAGAAGACTTGTGTGAAATGTCTAAATCAGAAAATGCCTTACAAATAAAGGGTTGAGCCAATGCCTCTAGTAAGGAAGTCCTGCGCCCACTCATGAAATCCACTATTGATTCCTTAAAAGAAGACAAGATCAGCAAATTAGGACCATTTACAGCCACAATTGTTAAAAGATAAATAACAAGACATGGGGAAGAAATGGAATAAACATCTTAGCAAAAAGAAATATTGATACTTTGGAAACAAGTAAGATTTCAATAAGTGTAGGACACAAGATAAATGATGACACAGCTGAATATCCTGCTGCATTCACTGCAGAGCTAAGAAATGACTCAAACTCTTTACTTTGTTCAGTCTAGGTAAAACAATCCAGTTAAATTCGTCAGTAGTTTAGATTTTACCCCCACGCGTTGCTGCACACTGCCAGTCAGCTACAAGAAACAAGTTTACATGAAAACTACTAAATTTAATTCATTTTTATTTTACATTTCTTGCACAGATGCATGTTGTAGAGAATAAAACCATTAACGTCTGGCTCGTTGTATTCTCTTGTCCTCCCGGATTCAGTGACGCCATGCGTAGAAATAAAAGCCACACAGAGATAATCAGCGCTCCACGTCATACGTTTTCAAAGTTTATTCCAAAAGTTAAAAGTATTAATTCACATGCACAGCACAGACACTTCAAACACACTTAAGCAGACATTAATTACCTGATGGAAGTAGAACAATAGAAAAACAGAAGAAAGGCAAAAAACATGTTTTTTTGGAGATTGCCATGCGGCTGCAAATAGCAAATCTGATTCGTTCCTCTGGGGTATAGAGTTTTGTTTCAAAGGTGCTTCCTTGTTTTTAATTTATGCAATTAAGGCGTGTTTTTCTCCTTGTATGGCTGTGGCCAGTTTCAAATGACAAAGTTGAGAAGTTCGAAGCAATTTAACTACCTTCTGAGACCTGTTTAATTTCAGGGCTTCTCTATCTAGACAAGGAAGACCAAAGGTCATTTAGAGCAAGCAAGCTCTTCTCATGCCAGTTTGAAATGTGATGTTATTCCTAATTCCTGGTTGGAATAAAGTCTCTATTTTTTAAAACCAGGGTTCAACCAAAAGCTAACCTGTCTTCGACCCATTTTATTTCCCTGCCGGTCAATTCCTACAAATACAGATCTGTGCAGGAATTTTAAATTTACATGAAGCCTGGTAAACAAAGTGGTTCAGAACTTCTCCATCCTCTTGGATCAAAGCACAGATTTTAAGAATTAAAACACTTATAGAATATACCTGAGCATTTTCAATAGAAACATTAATTCTAGACATTTTCTTATTAATGTTATACTAGTTTTGATTATATGTTTGGCTCACTTAGTGCTACAAATTTAGCCCGATTTAGACACTACCAGTGCTGTTAATATACAACTACGAATTAGGCTAGCTCAAGTCATGTTAATTTGAACTAAATGGTATTCTACTAATTAAATTGCAATTATTAGAATACATGTGTTGTTAGTTTGTTTTTCCTTAAGTTTTAGTGTTTCTCTGTGGGAGATGACTTGAGATGACTCCTTGCTGCCTGCTCATTTGAGACATGGCCTTTGTGCCAGAGTTAATTTATGGCGTGGTTCCTCCCTGATAACAGTCTCTCCTCTCCTTTGAGTAAGATGTTATTCAAACTAATCCTGCACAGTCCACTATTTTTACATGTGGTAAGATTAACTGTATTAAACACTAAGAAAATATTTTTTTTTCTCAACAATGTATAAACAAATATTTTAATCAATCACTGTTTACGTAAAAGAAAAAATATAATTTAAGAATAGGTCTTAACACAGAGCGATGCAACAATCCACCTTATCCTGAACGATACCCATTTCTATTTTTCTGAGGTCTGACCTACTGACCATTACTTAACATTTGAAATACAAAGAAAAAAAGAAGTCTTACAGCTATGCTATAGTTTCACAACAATTGTGTGTTTTTCCTGTTGATTACACGAAAACAAACTAATTTTTAATCTCTGGTTGTCTAGCTGGAGCATCTTAAATCAAACTGAGAATCTCACAAAAGTTTATGACTAAATTTTGAGGTGTCAAATTCTACAAAATCTTTTTACTTAATATCAGTTCACAAAATAATCTGTGATCAATAATGACATTCATTATGCTGAGCTGACATATAAACCCAGGAGTTTATTTAAATCTGTTCAGGTAAGAGCCTATCTACCTCTTATAAAGTTTTTATGAAGTTTAATTTAATGTGATGCCAACATGTCAGCTTGTTTAAAAAGAGTTGAGCTGAAGGTTTGGAAAAACACCAACATTTTATTAAAATTCTCGAGTCATACTCACGTGGGTGCGCATTAGTCTCGAGTCTTCGCGAATTCTGGGTACTGAAGGCCCACCTGGCAGGTAAGGAAAATGATGACGTCAAAGTTCACATAAGATGGGAAAAATTAAACACTTGACCAACACACATGTTCACACATATATGCATATAACAGCTTCGATTACACTGGCGGCTCGCACCGATAGAACGGAAGCGGATCCGTTTGCTAAACTTAAAAGTCTGGTAAAACTACAATAGCTGGTAAGCTAACAAGCTGACCCAGTTCCAATTCCTGGTAAATGAAACTCAAGATATGATTAAATAAACTGCTCCGTTCCCACCTCGAACTAGCTCTTTCTTTCTTGGCATGGCTTCCGTTTATTTCCAGTATCTCTGATCCAGTATTTCTCTATGACGCACTAGTTGTCGCCAGGTTTAGTGCTGCTGAGTTGCTGTTAACCCTGTTGGAAGTTTTGGCTCGTGTACAGTGGAGAAGCCTTCAGCGTCCACGGCGTCCTGTTATTCGTCTTCTTCTTCGACGAAAACGTGCTCAACTACTATTATTGGCGAACGACACTGCCATCATCTGGAAAGAAATTTGCCCTGTAGAGAACAAATATTCTTCAATAAAATCTCTTGAGGATGTTAAATAAATGCTTTTACAGCTACATTAGTGATATGTTATGGTTCAAATAAAACAGTAGCTGTAACAGGAAAACAGCCTATTTTTATCCTTATGTCGACACATATTTAACCCCTTTTATTCAACATTTCTTACAGATTAAAAACATAATAATAATCTGCCCACGGTTTAAAGTTCTGTTTGATGAGTGAGTATTATGCTTTTTCAATGGTATATGAAAGTTACAACAAAATACATACGGTTAAATTAATAAATAAATAATTTGCATTATACTGAGTCACACTAAAATAATTACACAATGTATGTCTTGGACATTTAAATTTTTCTTTGAGAATGAGAAGTTAAGTCTATTTTTAATAGCATCAGTTTGGATAAAGAGGCATTTGTCTATGAATAACTTTGTAATATTAACAATATAATTATTAAATTTGGGGCATTTATCCTCCATAAGTTACCCTGTTTTACACTGTTAAAGGTAAATCTACCTGTTTTCGAGAGCAATATGGTGATGTCGCTCTTTTCCTGTCTGCCATTCAAATTTTCTATTTCCGGGGTATTTTTTGACCGTTCCTAGCAACGCTCCTAGGTAACGACGTAGAGGAAGCGCGCTCAGCGTGGCGGACTGTCATCATCAACAATCAAAACAACAACATGGAACCGCAACAGGTAATTTATGTAACGTCTGCCTCAACCACGCTAGATAAAATAATTACTGTACTTTTCTTTGTTGCGTCTTTGTGTTACCAGCAACCCGGAAGTGCCAGTTAACGGTTAGATAGCTAACTGCTGCTAGGCATTGAGCTAACTGGCATACTAATGTTAACGTAGCTGACCTGTTTACTCAGCTCACTCTATTTTAATATGAAGAAACTTGGATAAACCGTTGCGTGTTAATTTATATTTACTGAAGCTTAACTAGCCATTAGTCTGGCTTATTTGTTTATCGCTTTGCTTTAACGATTCCAGATACACTGGCTGTATGTAGTATAACACATCTTTCAGTGGTTACGTTAACTCAGATTCAAGTCGATTTATCCAGTGGTGATTTTTCTTGCTAACATTTTCATAACAAATGTACACAGACTGTAAAGCACAACTTCTGGATTTTTTATTTTTTAAGTGGACTAAAATAAAACAACTGCAAACTCTTTCCTGTGTGTATTTGGGTTCATCCCAGATAGCA